CTCAGTTGTTTGCAGCATCATCCTATAAACCAACAGGTCGTGGGCTTGATTCTCTGTCAGGGCACCTGCTCAGGTTGCGAGTTCAGTCCCCTGTTGGGACATGTACAAGAAGGAAGCCACTGGAATTTTCTCTCCCTCCCTTCCTTCCCCTCTAAAGTCAATAAGCATGTCCTTGAGTAGTCTATATATGTCTACATATCTATAAATTGATTTTATAAATTATGATTTGATAAAGCTGGAATTTATATCCCTTTCTCAAGTCTATGTCAATTTCTTGATTTCGAATTCAGAGGAAAAGGGTGTGATGAACCACACCAACAAACTTGACTAAGTCTAGTCCTACTTCAGTGTCATGAAGGTCAAATAAGGTAGATTTTTTAATATGCTTTGTAAACAGTAATTATCTACCCAGATGTTTATTGTTTATCTACAGTTTCCCAACTGATCTAAATTTTGAACATGCCAAGATGTAGTGCAGGCAGCACTGACACCAGTTGACCTATTACAATGCAGTGCCAATGCTGTTCCTGATTTCCTGCCACAGGTAGAGTCGTAAGTAAATAAAGGGGCACATTATCATGGAAACAGTATTGAAGTGGGAATCCAGACACTTGGATTCGAGATTCAGCCATGTGAAATTTTGAAGAAGTCTCCCTGGACTTAAATTTTTTTATCTCGCAAATGAGTCCATTTATAGATCTTTCAAGTTTCTTCTGGCTGACATTCTAGGTAGAACACTGATGGAATTTTTCCCCAAGCTGGTGGTGACTGATGTGATGGGACATGTCCAAGTCTCACACAGTCCCTGGAAAGTGTGGCCTTCTGGTTGGCTCTGTAAAATTAGACAACCCATTACAGAGGAAAATTTTCTGCTGACACTTGTTCTAAAGAGAATACCCCCAACTGGGCAGATAGGGCACAGTTTTAACCTCAGGAAAGCTACACACGTTTTTCTTCTCTTGTGCCCTAAAATTTCTAAGCCTATCTTCACTAAGAAGCTTTCCTATATACTAATCAGAGAAGTACTGAGCTTTTCCAACTCAGCAAATTTGAAACAACAAAATGCAAGAAATAACTGACTTTAGTTAGCAAAATGACCTCACCAATTTCTGACTGGAGCATGCATCTGTAAATCTGTTAAGACTGTGGAAGCAGAAGGAACTCCAGTAGAAAGGGACCTGGTCTAACTCATTTTTTTATCCCTTGCATCTAGCACAGACAGTAAATGTTACTATATACTTCATGTATGCATTCATGTACTGAGACAATTCGATAAACAGATGAGCAATGATATGGCAAGTAATCAGGCAAATACCAACATTATAAGGATTTTAGTTTATAAAAACATAAATGTTCATCAACTAAAACTAAAATATGATTACTTTTCCAGAGTACAGAATCAAATTCCAGTAAGACACTTTTTAACACGATATGGCACACTGTTTGATATGGCAAAATGCACACAGAGGGTTAGTTAATGTAACATCACATTCTTTCATGTGTCCTGGGAGAATAAAGGTGATATGTATAGAACTGAAGTGGCTTAAATATTCTTCCTAGAGCATTTACCATTACAAGGTAATATAAATTTGATGCAATAAACTGTACCTTGTAAATACAATTTAATTATTTAATCGCTGAATTACATTTATTGTTACTATTTTAAAATGTATATATCTATATAGATATTTCTAATTTACAAGATTCAAATACAGAAAAATTAAAAATCAGATTAAATGTAATTTGACCAAAGTACCTATATATTTCCAACATCTTTTGTTGATAAAGTCCCAAACTTTATAAAAAGTTAAAATACTGATGATTTAAAATATTCCTCCCGTTATGTTTTTGTTTCTCATGAATACAAAGCAGGTTCAGAAATGCAACAAACACCAATTATAGGCACACAGGTCTCTCCATGATTGTTGTAAAGTGGTCACCGAGTTTAATATTCCTCACGAATAATACGTCAACCATTTACATTAGTGGAAGGATTCTCTTAAAACACCAATAGCAGACGAAGTATTGACCAATTTAGTAGTGTTTTTGTAGTACTAGCAATAGAAAGGTCAAAATTTTATTCTAGTTTCTTCCCCTGACTGGAATTAGTATAAAACAAATTTCATCCAATTTGTTCACAGCCAAAGGAAGAAATATAAGTTCTGCTGAATTCAGATCGTCTCTTCAGGAACCATGGCTTTCTGGTATGATGGTATTAAAAAACAAAAAAAACAAACAAAAACCTTCCTTAAACAATTTTAATATTAATATTTACAAAATTGAATACTGTCTCTCGTGATAAACTGAGACAGATCAATTCTAGGTAAGTCTACTAGCACCCAAATCAATACTATCCTGTAAATGTTCAATAATGTGTCATGTCTGTTAGTGAACTGTTATTCTCTACATCACAGGTGGCAAACACAAGGCCTGTGGGCCGAATCCGGCCCTCCACTTTGTTTTATCCAGCCAGGCACCTGGTTTCTACCCGGTGGCAGCACCAAGCTCTCACTTAACTGTTAAGTAGTTACATTTATACGGTCCTAAGAGTACATTTGGCCCTGTGATGGCAACGCGAGGCCGATGTGGCTCCCGGTGAAAATGACACCCCTGCTCTACATCACTCTAGGTAAATATGGACCATGGAGAGAGAAAAAAAAAAGGAAGACATTTACGTGTAAAAATATTAAAACATATCCCCTCAACCTAATATCATAGAGGAGTCACTAAAAAAATATGCTAGGTCTCATGGCAATAATATCTTTATATGATGTTATGATTATGAAGTTGGTTAGGAACCTCTATCACCCCTTAATGGAAGCACAAAAATTTTCCTTATAAAATAATATCAAAGATAACATACCTTTTTATGGATTTTATTTCAGGGTATTCTATCCTTATTATGGCTTTGACCTTCTGAGGGTATGCCTCATTAGGACTCCCTTTCCAGAAGCCCTAGACTCAGACATTAGGCCCCATTCTAGCAAAAGAAATCCCTTAGAATCTGTTTTTCTCCCTCAAGTCAAATGCAAAGGGTGACAAGACTGTCACAAAGAACTTATTAAATGACAGAGTTCCCCCAACTTTTAGTATAGAGTGGAGGATTTAAATAAGGCACATACTTTTCTGAGCACAAATGAAAACACAAAATTGGATGCTATTAAATTTATCACATTAATGTTGCAAAGTATAGTGATTAATATAGAGACAGTGAAGGTCAAGTACTTCTACATAACAGAAATCAGAACTCTGTATTGCAGATCATGCTGCCTGAAAGCCTATACGATAGCCTGTACTGTTGTTAACTGCCCGGCTCACTATTTTGGACTATTATACTGCCATAATAAAATCTAATTTTGGATAAGAAAGTATGTCTTTTGGTTAAAAATGAGGCATTTCTAAATAAATGCAGCATAACTAATTTTATATACAATATGTTGCCTACAAATGGTCCCTTATTTAGAATAACTTATATGAAATGCCTTAAAAATTATTTGCAGGAATTATGTTTCATTTTTTTTCTTTTTTTTACAGAGTGAACAGGTAAACATTAACCAAGACTGTATCATAAATTCCAGGTTAATGAGGTATTACTTTCTCCCTTTGGAAAGAGCAAGGTTGGTTATAAGAAAATCCTATGATTTGCTGGCCCTTCATTATGGAGGGTTGTGGACAATATCCTAATAGCAGAAACTAAAGAAATTAATGAGAAAGGCTTTCAGATGACAGTTAGTGGGCCACTTAATTTAAAAAAAATTCACTATTAAAGAAATTTCTTTGCTCAGGGATACCCCTGGTGACTTCCACTTGCCTGCCATTTGTTGCGTTTAGAGACTTCTTTCATCTCACACTCCAGCAATGACCCCTTTCCTTTCTTTGTTTAAAACTGACATTGACAATGTTCGGTGGGACTGTGTTACACTGCAGTAGTGTGAACTGCCTTTAACTTTTATTGTCATCAATACAAAAATTTCTCAAATTTGAGGCACAATTTACAATGCAAGTCTTTTAAATTTTGTAACTTAAAGTTCCAAGTATCAAGAATTTTAGAATAAGAGATAATTCTGGAGAAATAAAATATGAATAGTAACCCTCAGGGTTACCTCTTCTACTCAAAATACAGGGAATACTGAGAACTCCTGACTAGCTTGTCATTAAGTCAGCCTTCTCTGGCGCCATGGAAGCGAAACTTGTATTAGCTAATCTTCCTATTTTCTGAAATCCTAGGACTATTTCACAACTCAGTTTGGTGGCACTGAGAACTGGATTCTAGGAATAAGAATTGCTAAGAATGTTCAACATATTTCAGAATTTTGGTCACTAAAATTGCCCAAGTGAAGATTAAAAAAAAAACTTATTTCATTATGAAAATTAGTACAGAAAATTATACATCTCAAAGACTACAGAAAGCTTATTAACTATAGTTTAAACACAAATAGGTGACTTAACAACTAAAGAGATATGATCTATCATTTTACATATATAGTCAGCTATATAATTTGGGAGCTAAATATCTGGTTTCCACCTTCTGGTTTAATTTCTTCAGTTACCAATTATGAAAACAGGATAGGCTGGGGAGGGGAAAAAGGAGGAAAATCTTAGAAATTATTAGCAGCTCTTATAAAAGGTTAAAAGGTAAAAAAACTCTTGCCAAAGATAAAAAAAAGGTAAAAGTAACAGCTATACTGTAGATTTCATTAAAAGTCACCAAGACAGCTAAACACTGATCTTAGATTTTCAAACGTACATATAGAAAACCATAGCAAACATTTTGTGGAAAGATATTTTGTTTTATACTATCGTTTATATCTACATCATAGAGCAAAGGTAGACACTGTTTCTGGTTAGACCTACTTACATCTGTAAAAGCTCAAATGGTGTATCTTCTTTCTGGGAACCTAGAAAGAGGTATGTAAGGTCAAATACCTTATTTATATACCAACCCATTTATTTTACAGAGACTAGCTCTCAGAAGATTACCCAAGCTGTTAGGTCAAGCTGTTAGGTCAAGCTGGTAATGAATTAGAAAGTAAACGGAGGCATTTAAGCCTTAAAAATTTGCTCCTATTGAGTATTTTACTATGACTACATTATTTATTTTCTATAAAAATATTTTGTGTATCTAAACTAAGTCACAAACAAAACATTCTGAGCGTTCCACTTAGGCACTACCTGTCACCTTCACCTGTCCTAAGTCTGTAGTATGTAGGTTGCAGTGGCTCAAACGGAGAAGTAAACACTTTTTTATTACCTCCACTGTAAGATACAATCACCCATGTACTACTTTGCTAGACAGTAGAAATATACTAGATTAGTTCATACACATAGAAAATTTCTGAAAAGGAAAAAAGAATCCTACTACGTCGGAACAAGGGGAAGGGGTTTACCCTATAGCAGCGTTTCACAACTGCAGTCATGAAACTCCCGTGTTTCATGAATTAACATATAATAAACAAACCCTGAACTATCCTACAGTGTATTTTCTTCTAAGATAAAAAATAATATATATGACATAAACTTAATACACATACATACTATTGTAAAACAATCTGCTTTGGAAAAGTGATGTGCCCATTTATGAATGCCAGCAAGTGAGAATGGAGATCACTTCCTGTTCCAACACACCTCTGACCTGCTTATTGCTATACAGGTAACATTTACCAACAAAACACCATGTTGTTATAGGTTAATGATCTAAGGATTGCTAGTATATGCTGTGTATTTTATTTTTTAATATCAACTTATAATTAGACCATTATTTAATTTTTATTGCATACTAAACTAGTAAGAATGTTATAGCAAGTAATCTGTGAAACCATTTTTCTGCTATACTTGAAGGATTACTTAATAATTTTTTGTCAATACATTATTTTCAAAAAATATTCCATGGTTACACTGGTTTAGAAAATTGTTCTATTGTGTACAAACACAATGACTGCTGCCCCAAATTTTATTTGGTTTGTTGTAATGTTTTTCTAATGTTTCTTTAAAATGTAGAAAGTTATAGTTCAGTACATATAGGCAATGGAGCCATATCTGACTATTAAAATTCTTAAGTCCTTTTCCCACTCCTTTAATGCAAGATATAAAGAAGCTTTCCTACCTTATATCTCTCTCTCGTCAAAAGAAATTTGACCAATTTTTCAATCAAAAACTATTGTTCTCTTATGATCAACAGATTGATCAGGACTATGGCCTCCCATTAAGTGTAGCAGTGATTTGCTAGGGGATTACTTCATGGTTAAGCAAAAAATGAAGTTAAGGTGGCTATGACCTCAGATGGCAGATATACAGCTGTTTACCTAGCTCTGTTGAAGCATGTTTCAAAGTGTTCTGCATAGTATGGCAGGCTGCAGGCTGCTCTGGCATTTCCTGAATAAACTTTAAAATTCTAGCTAGGATTTAAGGCACTATAGCAGTCACTGCTGGATTACCTACGAGTAACAGCAATCATAAAATAAAGGAGCAGAACTGAAGAGTTTTAAAATCACACATAAAGTTATACTCCCTACATTACCAGTTAGTAGGTCAGAAAGGTTTAGGTCTGTGAGCTTATCTGAATAGCTCTGTAATCTAGATGTATGAGCAATACATGAAAGGAGGGTAAACCCCATTACTGTGTAGTGTTCAAACTATACCCAGGGACAACTTTGGTAACAATCACAGCTTTGATCAATTCTTTCTTCATCGCAACTGTCACAAGCTACACCACTCATGGTTTATCACAGCACTGCTCTTCAGAAGGTTCTAGTCTGCTCTGAGTGAAAGTTGCAAATAACCAGCCAAATCTGAAACCGCCTTCAGAGTTGAATTATATTCAAAGAATCCTAAGAGGGAACTGGTCTTATTCCTGCTGAATTAGTAGATAAAACAGTCTTTTACATCATCTCTGATTCTTTCACGAACATTCAAAATGAAGATAAATGTTTCTTTAACTTCAAAGTCTATTTTCTTTTCTAACTACCTTCTCTCAGTCTTTTAGTGTTTTGCACCACCCCACACTCCTTTCAACCGAGAAGAACTTTCTGCATTCTGTGGGCAGCAACACTAGCTTCATCCTCCGAGTCGGATTCGCTCTGGGACGTGGAGCTGTGAGAGGCGGAGCTGCAAGGGGAAGAGCACGCTGGCGAACACAAATAGTGCATCAAGGGGAGGCGGTACTTCCCACAGAAGTCCACAAATTTTATTTGTCTGACACAGCAGTCAAAGTAGACCCCTGGAGAGGAGAAATAAGTATAAGGTAATCATTACAAAGCAAAGAGTCACAGTTTCTTTTTCAACTATTTCTCTATCATTCTGAAAAATGTACTTCTCTTCAAAAGTCCTCTCTTTTGTGAATCTTAAGCAGAACCCCTACATGTTTCTGTGGCTGTTTACAGAAATACTAGAAGGTCTTAGGGATGCCAATTTGGCAGCAAAGAGAAGGCCAAGATGTTTATCTTAAAGGGAGCTGGTACTAACAGGACGCTTCATTTACTCAGCTTGTCTTCTCTGGGTAATTTGGAGGATAGTGCCTGACAGAGATTACAGAATGCCTCAAGTGCCCTTCCTCCATCAGTCAAGCCACTCCTTGGTACTAGTTACAGTCAAGAAATTTTAAAAAGCCCACAGACCTTCAAAATTTGCAGAAAGGAGACAATTTCTGGTACCTGTTCTTATGTATTGAAAAGCCAAATGAAAAGAAACAAAATATTACCTCGTATTTCCACAGGTTCTAAATCTACAGATTTCAAAACTGTTTCACTAATGGTCTCATATGATTTTCACACAATTATATATTGTTAGGTACACTAAAGCTAGTATTCAGCTCTTTTCATTCCCAATTTTGATTCTACAGTGATCCTGAACTGTGGCCCTTTAGTTAAGTAAAACTACAGTCAGAGCTGGGAGGAAAGCAGGGGTTGGTCCATTCAGGGTTCCAGCTGCTCCTTAAGGAAACTGCGTGTCTCTAACCAGGCCATCAAGGCAGTATAATGGGAATGTCCAGGACTCCGGGCCCCACCATCTCTCTAGGGGGGGGATCTCAACCTCTCCACCTTCCCTACGTTTCCTTTGGCACCAAGTACTCTGTGTGTGTCACATAAAGGACCAAAACAAAGGGACCAAGACATGCCCCAAGCAGAGGAGAAATAATAATTTCTATTTATTTTTCCCAATACTTCCCCATTAACTTTTTAATTTTTTGATTCTACAGTAAGTATAACTCATAATTTAAAAAAGGAAATTCAAGGTATATTACTTTAAACAATTTAGGAAAGTAGATAAATTCAATAAACTGGTCAATTACTACTTTTATGACGGCCCTTGAAATGTGTTACATTCCTCAAAACAGGTAGATATAACAAGATAAAGTATTATAGTTACCATAAACTAAAACAGTACAATACTCTGTTGTCATTTGTCAGATCTCAGACTATCCAAAGAAAACATCTCACAAAATATAAAATTACTTTTGTTTAGAGTTCAATAAGGAATGAGCCTGAGGGGAAAAAATGTGAATGGCTCATTTTATATAGTATCTCAAATTTTAAACTATTAATTTTAAATGTATTTTTGTTCCTGAGATAAATTACACATCAGTATACCGAAGAATTAATTCAGAAACAATGGAGAGAAGAGAATTCTTGTAGAGCTCCATTTCCAGAAAAGGACAGATGTAAAGGGAGTAGATGCAGACTACTAAGCCGGCAGGCCGGTGTGAATGCCGTCCCTCACCGCTGTTCAAGCCAGCTTAGGAGAGAGCACCAGAGAAGCTTAAGCACCTCTGACGGAGCACAGCACAGCCACCTCTACTTGTCAGGGTGGCCAGAAAGGGCCCAGAGTATTGTCCTGTTTCAACCCAAGTGTCTTCTTTCTCTTTTGACATCTTTTGACCAGCTTAAACCATTTCCTCCTTTCTAAACCTTGTAATGGTTTTAAGACATGATGGGACTTCCAGAAAAAATCTGATCATCATTATATATTTTACTGTTGGATAAATCACCTACATTTATGCAACCTTTTATGCAACAGTGAAAACCTTTCTGTACCCCCAGCAAACTGGACTTTTTTCGAAGTAGTCTTTTATGAGGGAGCCATAATAAAATAACCTGCTGGCACCACCAACTCCCACCCACAGCGTCTGACACTGCAGGCCCTTCATAACCTGGTCTCAATGTATCTTTTATAAAACCTTTTCTCTTATTCCTCCTCTGTGTATTTGAGCCTAATTATTACTTATGCAACATTCTGTCCCATCCTATCTTCTCTCCAATTATATTCTTTTCATCTGAAGTTTCTTATTCTCAATCTTACCCTATCAAAATCTAATTCATAATTCAAGAATCATCTCTCTTTTCCAGATCTAATTAACGGTACTCTCTCCCTCCTTTGATTCCAACAGTACGCTGAATTCCCACTTTACTTTGCCTTATATTTATCACTTGTTCAATTCTCTTTAAGTGCTACAAACTGAAGAAATTCTGAACCATAATTTAAAAGAATATAAAATTCCAGGGTACATGCTGAAACCGGCACCCATTCTGCCTATTCTCATGTATCTTGAACCACACTCTACAAAGGTACCTGATACTAAGAATGGTGTGCTCCTCAAAGAAATATAAAAGGTAGCCAAATATTTTAGAGATTCTTTTTAAGCAATTAGGACTGTTATGCTTCTTTTCTGTTTCCTCTCATTTTATAAATTTTACGACAGTTCCAAGACAGGAGGAGACTTTCTGGATATTTCCCTTGTGTATGAATCATAACGTACTATGAAAAGAAAAGAAGAAAGAAATCCAGAAAGGGTGAAATGTCTTAGTTTCTGGTGAAAGGATAAGGGAAGCAGAAACAGAGACTAACTGCCTTTCACTGAAAGAAGACAACTAATAAAAACAACATTTAGACCATCAACTTTAATGACAGCTAAATGAATGGGAAACAAGGACACTATTAACTTACCTCCACACTTTGGGTTTGGACAATTGCTGGCTAAACTCAAGTATCTCAGAAGATTCCCAGGAAGATCACAGGGAGTGTAGGAAATATTTCGAATTTTAATGGTCCGTGCAGCTAATTCCAGGAGAGTTGGAGGGTCATAGGTTAAATCTCTAACAAAACGAACAACCAACGGATTTCCTCGCAAACTCAATTCTTCCAAATGGGTAAGGTTGAGGATCTCTCGAGGCAGGTATGTTAGCAAGTTATTGTGAAGACTGAGGGAACGGAGTGAATGCAACCTAGAATGAATGCAGTACAAAAACCAATGGCCATAAGCAAGATTACTACCAAGAAAATTAAGGGAAGAACTTGACTTCCCTGTAAGAATGAGCAATTAACATTAAGGTCAATGCAAGTAAAATTAAAAAGTGCTGAAACTAGATCAGAGTGCAGATTTGTATATGCCATGAAGGGCTTTTTTTTGCCCATGGAATCTCAGAGTGTTTAGAATACTTAGAGTATTCTGATGTATGAGATTAACTATAAAGGCTAGATTGAAAGATTTTGGAGGGAGGAATGTTTTCTCATTTGGATAACCAAAAAAGGAAAGATTCCAAAAGCAACACGAATCAAGATCCTTCACGTTATCTCATTAGGATAGGAATGCTTCATATCGAATATAAAATCACAAATTCCCCTAAAACCTGGGAAATCTCTGCCAAATGAGTACTCTGTTTTTGATTATAGAACACAGGCTAAACAAATATTGTGAGGAATAAACCAGAGCATTTAAAAGTAACATTACAAATGAGCAACCTTATCCACAGCAAACCTCAGAACTGCAATTCTCAGGTATCCTTTATCTTGAGAACACCTGTTTTCTACATATAAAACATGTGGGTGAATGGAAAACAGTAATTCCTAAGCATGTATCTCAATGTATACACCGACTGCCTGAAACTACTCACTGTGAAAGCTGGGGAGGCACACTTTGGATTTTGTTGTCACATAAGACCAAGTAAGTCAGAGAAGGCAGATTTGCTAATTCTGGTGGGATTTCCTTGATGAAGTTTCCTCCAAGATATAAACACTCTAAACTGTAAAGAAAAATGAACAAAAAGTAAACAAACCAAAGCTAAATAAGATACCCCATTGCCTTTATTACAATGAACACATTTCATGTATTCATTTAGCAAAAGTTTTATTTAGGATTTGCTTTGTGCTATCTAGTCTCTAGAGAAATAATGCAATCTTCAGGGAACTTATAGGTAAGCAGACAAGACACACCAATATTAAGACAGTATTATCAATATTACCTAATTTAATTCTTGTTAGTATTTATTTCATTTAATCCCAGCTCTACCACTTATCAGTATAAGAATTTGGGCCAGTTTCATTATGCACCGGTTTCCTCTTCTTTAAAATGGAATTTTATTATTATATATCACGTGAAGTGCCTAGCCAACAAGTATGAACCAGACACATACCATGCACCATTCTAGGAAATACAGTGGAAGTAAGACTGAGTACTTGACTTTAAGTAGCTATATCCAGAGAAACAAATAATAAATCAGTGAATTTGTATGTATTTTGCCAGATAGCTTTAAGTGCTATAAAGAGAGAGAGAGGTCATCAGGTGGTAATGAAAGTCATATTCTAAACAGGGTGGTCATAAAAGGTTTCCTGCAGGAAATGATACTTGCATGGCGATCTGAATGAAATGAGTACAAATCCGAGATGGAAAAATGCTTCTGTTGTACAAGAGGAACACAGTCAATGTGGGTAGACCAGAGAGACAGAGATGGCCAGTGCTAGTCACACAGGTCAGAGGGGTAGCCTAGGAAGACCAGTTCAGAGGCTCCTTCAGACCTTGGTAAGAACTTTGAATTTTACCAGATTGGGTGAGCTCTTCACAAGAGAAACACTTAAAACAGAAATAGCCCGATACACTTAAAAGTAATGAGACAGAAAAAGATGTACCAAGCGTGACTGGTACATCTGGACTGCTACATTAGGTTTCAGTCTGCTCTTCCTGCTTGCACTCTTCCCACCAGACTCCCTTCTTCCTTCAGCAGCTGTTTTCCACACAAAAGCCAAGTCATCCTTTTAGAGCGGTGACCTCTTTTCACTTAAAGAGTGTTAAATAAAAAAAAACCAACAGCCAACACAATAGCCATCCAGTGTGAATCAAAATTATACCTACTTTTTTTTTGTGAGATTGGTAAAAAATCTATTTTTTGATGCTGCACAATTCTAGTAATTAGTTTATGTGTGCCATGAATTGGAAAAGGTTGGAAACTGCTGTTCTAGAGTATAACTCAAGTGCGACCCTCAGAAGTTCTTTCAGCAAGGACCCGGCACAGTTAGTAGTCTAAGTCCTTCATCCCTGACATTTTTACACCCCCCAAGTCCCACTCTTAAGTCATAAATAGCTTGACTGGGCATCAAAATCTACACTGACATTTACTTTTCCTTAGCACTAGGAAGATACTGATCCATCATCTTACTTCAGCCGGTATTACTATTGCTCCTTTATAGATAATCTGTTTTTTACTATTATTAAGAACTTTTAGGGTCTATTTTCTTTATCTAACCTTATTGTTATGAAGTTTCATCATCAGTTTAAAGCACTCCTGTTAACTGTGTAAAAATCTCAGCTACTGTTATTTCAAACACTGCCTTTTCTGCAAGCCCTCCAGTCTCTTTTCTAGAATTGACAATGAACAGCAGTAGAACTTTGGAATCAATTCTCTATGTCCCTTAATATTTTCATACTTTTCATTTCTTTCTTTTTGTGCAACAATCTACCATTCAGCCTACTGAGGTCGTAAGTACATTTCTTTTTTCATTCCTAGGAATTCTAATTGGGTTTTTCATTGGGGTAAATTTTTTGAACTTATTTCATTAATAACATACCCTCCTTTACCTTTTGAAGTTAGGAAACATACTTATTTTAAAGTACTTTATAGATTACCTTATTATATGTATTTTCTGGGTACGATTTCTTTCCTTTGTTGAATTTCTCATCTATACTTGAAAATCTTGCCTTCATTGACATGTGGTGATTCAAAAGCCAAACTGAACTTGAAGTTTTGTCATTTAAAAAATATATTAATGATATTTCTTTTCTATTTCTGGTTCTGTAAATCTTTTAGATTTATAAGGCTTAGTAAAAGCAGATACTTTAATTCCAATGTTACTTTTTTGTCTTTCAACTATTGCCTTCTATAAAAAAATCAAATGTCTGGCCCTGATCACGTGGATAAGTTGGTTAGAACATCCTCCTGTGCACCAAAAGGTTGTGGGTTCAATTCCTGCTCAGGGCACATACCTAGGTTGATGGTACAATCCCCAGTTGGGGTATGTACAGGAGGCAACCAATCAATGTTTATCCCTCGCACCCTCTCTTTCTAAAATCAATAAAAGACATATTCTCAGGTGAGGATTAAAAAAATAAATTGTATATAAGACTGAATTCTCCTATACGTAAATGTTTAAGCAGTGGTGAAAAACTTCCTAGACAAGATTTTTTGATCCTAACAAAATAGTTAAGTGAATGCTAAATTATTCAGAAATCTCTATTTTTCAATGATGAGAACTACTAGAATAGAACAGAACAGAATAAAATATTTGAAGCCCCCAAAATAGAACCTACCCTGGAAAAACAGAAAATTATCTGGAAAAAAATTAGCAAATTTGGAAGTCCTTTTTATACAAGATTCAACACAGGTAACAACTTGCATTAGTCTACGGAAGGGGAAAGTGAGTCTGAGAGAAAACTTAAATATTGTGTTTCTACTTGTTTAAGTCAAGAACCCAGAGAAATTAGTATCTGGTGGTCAGTTACTACTCAGTATCTTTCTTTCAATGCTTTGAAGTGAGTGGGGAGGAGTACAGACAAAGGGTGCCGAGCCTTAGTGGTTACTGTGACTTGGCAGAGAAGGAACTGATGTTCTAAAATATAACGGAGCCCATAACTTCGAAGTTATATCAATTCCCTTTTGCAACTGATGGGTATCATTAATCAGATTACACAACTAGCATATTAAATTTACACTTTCAGGCTTACTTCTCACTTTGACACTCAAACAATTCCCAAAGTTCTAGGGACTTGAAGCCTTTAAATGACTTGTGGAAATTAAATTTCTAAAGTACACTCTACTGTTCCCAAACATGCTTTTATGTAGGGTGAGAGGGAATTATTGTTGAATTTAAAGCAAAACTGTAGTAATTAAAAGTTCTTCCATTTATCAGCATTGCACCTCTCTTAATCAGGTTTGGAACACTTCTATTCTTTCAGTGTGACAAATACAGAAAATAGAAAAACCACTAACAAAATTTGTAGAATTCTTCTTTTTCCTTTCTGTTTATCATTAACGGACCAATCTTAGGTTTGTTTCCTGAAAAGTATTCCACTTCTCTGAATGGAAATACCTTAGTGATACTGAAGTGGGTGGCTTTTCTCTAGCAAAGGCCAATGACCTACTGGAAAAAATACACTAAGGGTCCCTTAGTGCCAATCAACTTTTATGACAGATACATGATATCTATCCTAAGAACCATACACCTGTGGATAAAGAAAGTAATTTTCTTGATAGCATCTCCACATTAAATCATTTTCAAATACCATCATTCACTACAGGCTTTAAAAAACATTTTCTGTTCAAAAATAGAAGCACAGATGGAGGAATCATCTCTTGATACTTGTCCAAAACTAAGGCAATAAAAGTCAGAGAAAAGAAGTGCAGAGCCACAGAAACACTCAGTATGTGACTCTAAATGGGACAAAAAGTTTTTATTTAAACTTGAACATATTCTATTTATCATCTGATCTAATCATTTCTTTCATAAGACACCAATTTGTTTATTGCACACCAGCTTCAAAATATCCCAGAGCATGAATATTCATTAAGCTTTTGTTTTTGACACAGTCCTCTTACCTTCAATTTCTAAAACCACATCAAGCACACAGTGATGAGAAGGGTCATGAACAGAAAAAGGCATTGAACAGAAAATATTGTGAGAAATGGTAGCAAATGAAACTCACTTGTGCTCAAAGCTACCTTCCAAATGTCTAGACTCCTAGATGCCAAACAGTTCTCAATCTTTCATTTTTTTAAAATAACCACTGAGTGGTAAGTTATTAAGAGTCTGAGCTAATTGAGAGGATTACGATAAGAGGGCATAGGAAACAGGTCAAATACTAATTACACCGACTTTTTCAACACTGTGAAAAAGAAAAGTTTCTCCGTATATTACCAAACAGATATTACACCTACTTGTTGATGAATAACCTCCTACTTCGATAAGTCTCTACATCCGCAACCTCATGGCTCTCACTGAGACTAATATACTCCAAGGGAATGAAGTTAATCATAAAAATAAATTTTCGGCTCCTACTTATTCATTATACTTCATTAAAAAAAAAGATTTGGCCACTAGGGAAAAGGATGAACAAAGTACAGAAAACATACAGGAAGACACTCTGCTAATCTGAAGAGGTTAATTACACCAATTAAACCAATTGTGTGTATTTGTTATTCCTTCCTGAATGAAGACTGGAGAGAAAGGAGACCTTTACACGGGTTATATACTCTGCAAAATTTTTTCAATTGTTCTTAAAGAGGGTAGGTATCTTCCGAACATCCCAAAACACCTGATCTGGTTTATAAAACAAGGCGTAGTAGACATTGTAACATCAGGGTTACATATGAGGTCTAGGGAGTCCATTCTGAGAGAAAATGGTGTTATGGGGAAGCCACCTGAGGGTTTAAGTGACTGAATCTCCATCTCTACATTTTTGAAATTTTAATGCACTGTTTTAGTGAATAGGGAGCAGCCTTTATGGGCTGAATCACATTATCTCACTGTCACTATCTGGCCTCAAGGAAGTCGCCAATGACTAAACCTCAGTTTCCTCATCTGTAAAGAGGGTAAATCAGGCCATTGCTTAGGCTGTTTCTATTTCTAAGTGTAAATTTCTATTACATGACCCTCTAAGCCTACACTAAATGACTTTATATTTGGAGCACTACCTAAATCTTTATGACTCTTATCAGTAAAAAGAAATAGCACATACAACTAAAAATGACATAAGCAAATTCCCACAGTTATTAGCCCAGAAAAAGTTATTAGCCAAGAAAAACAGGTCAACCAGGTAGTGGCTTTGACCAATCCTCCTGATCATATATGCAACAGAAGCAAAGTCAGAAGAATTAGGTTCTAGCCCTGCTCTGACACTTTGGGAAATTTATGGGTTTGGAGTCAGAGATCCCAGATCCAATTCCACCACTCATTTTGTGCTTTTATGACCTAACATCTCAGAGCTTCAGTTTCTTCTCATCTCAGTGTTATGGTGAGAATTAAAAAGCATATTTAAAGCACCTATAACAGGGCCTACACCTCATGTAAGTAAGCAATAAAGGGAATTTTTGTCTACCCTTTTCTTTATGTGATAAAAATAATACCTGCCCTGGGTATTTCTTAGTATATTGAGAAAATACAAATGAGAAGGTTGGAATTATGTAACACCAAAATCAGAACAAACCAAAGCTTGTTAACGTTGCAACTAAATTTCTCTTAAACCCTTCTATTGATCTCTCCTAGTATCACCCTGGTATAAGCTACCATCATTTCTAATTCTACAACAGCCTCCTTCTAACCAGCCCTCAAAATCGTATCTGTCCACCCTCTCTCCACTCCACTGTTACATAGCTCAACAGAGACAGGTGCTTAAAATTCACTGTGTACTTAACATAAAAATGAAACTTTATTAGGGCCTTTAAGAATCTGGCATGGCCTGAAATCTGTTCCAAATATATTTGCCACTTTCCCTCTTGGCCACTTTGTCACTATGCTCTATTGCAATGTCCTCCCTTCAAAATTTTGACCTTCGGTCCTTCTTGCCTCTGGGTTTTCACCTGTGTGGTTCCTTCTACTTGGACTAATCCTACCCCACACTCTCCTAGTTAATTTACAAAAACTCAATTGAAATGTTACTTGCTCAAGAACAAAACCAAGGCAGCTCCCCCCCTTATTTCAAGGTACTCTGTCTTCACAGAATTATAGTAACTATAATTAAATGAAGTTTAATGTCTCTCATACTCTTAGCTCCACAGGGCAGGATCATGTTGACCACTGTAGCCCCATGTAACCTGATACATGGCAGGTATTACACAAATATCTGCTGATGAGTGAAGTAAATGAAGAGACATCTCCAAATGCCTCATTTTGCAGATTAGGAGGCTGTAGTCAGAGCATGTTAAGTGACTTGCCTAAGGCTGGGACACCAAGAGTTCTTATTCTCAAGCCAATGTTCTTTTCACTATAAGTGCGTCCCCAACCCCTGGGCCACGGACCAGCACCTGCCCCGAGGCCTGTTAGGAACCAGACCTCCAGGAAAGCCCTCCTGAGCTCCGCCTCCTGTCCATGGAAAAACCAGTCCCTGGTGCCAAGAAGGTTGGGGACCACTGCCATCATTAACTCTGAGGTCCCTCCCAGCTCTAACATTGTTATCTCAGAAAATTCAATAAAGGCTGTGAAAATTCAATTTTACAGACAATTATTATTATTTTTTTGCTTCAGACAATACACTTGCTCTTGCTCTATTTTTCACTCTCCTGCACAGGACATTCAGGGGGCTTTTGCTACCTGTGTGTCTGCTTCTTCCTTCCATTTAATTCAATGTAATTAACCAAATAATCTAGTAGGTGAGCCAGACCTGTAAACAAGGGATTATAATCAATATGATAAATGCAATGGTGACATGAGACAGTACAGTACAGGTAATAATTTAGGTGTTGCCCAGGAAGCAGTAATGAAAGAGAACAGATCACCCTCAAGATTGGTTTGTAAAGGCGAATAGAAATTTGCCAGGTAGAGGCATCACTTCAGGCAAAAGGAAAAGGATAGGGACAGAAGCATTGCATCCACTGAACACATATTTAGTGAGTGCCCATAGGTGCTGGCAAAATGCACGGCTTACGGAATTCCACAAATGCAGCAGTTCTTTTATTTGCAGTTTTGTTTTCCCCAGTTTCAGTTACCTGTGGCCAACTGTGGTCTGAAAATATTATATGGAAAATTCCAGAATTCATACGTTCTTAATTATACACCGTTCTGAGTAGTGCGATGACATCCCAGTGGCCATCCCAGTTATCAGATACACTGTCATAGTATCACAATGCTTATCATGTTCAAGTAACATTTATTTTACTGAATAATGGCCCCGAAGTGCAAGAGTAGTGATGCTGACAATTTGAGTACGTCAAAGAGAAGCTGTAAAGTACTTCCTCTAAGGGAGAAAGTAAAAGTTCTCCACTTAAAGAGAAAAGAAAAAAAAATCATGCTGAGATTGCTAGTATCTAAGGTAAGGATGAATCCTCTTTGCACCTAACCAAACGCGGTCACAAAATCTTATTAGATTCGCTGAGCTGGCCGGGTAGTAGTTAATGGCAAAAAGTTAAAGGGAAAGCCAGGAAGGAGACAGTTACAGGTCAACTAAACGATGCTAAGGCCAGGCCTGGTACTCAGGGGTTTCCTCCTCTCAGGCGGGGACCCGCTCACCTCTGCAAGTTCTCGATCTCAGCCGGGATGGTCTGCAGCTGGTTGCCGCCCAGGCTGAGGGTCTGCAGCGCACGCAGCTCCAGCACCGAAGGGGGCACCACTTGGAAGCAGTTCCCGCTGAGGTTGAGCACCTGAAGGCTGCGAGAGAGAGGCGACTGGGCCAGACCCTTGGGAAGCGCGCCGGGCCCACCGAGCCGGTTGTTCTTAGCCAGCAGCGTGCGTAGGCCGCGCAAAGCCAGCAGCTCCGGCCCCAGCTCGGTCAGTGCGTTGCCGCTCACGTCCAACAGCTGGAGATGCGAAAAGCCCCTACCCAAAGCCCGCGGCAGCGATACCAGACGGTTGTACGGCAGCAGCAGCCGCAGCAGCGCCTTCCGCGCGCCGCGCCGCTCGTCGCCCCGAGACTCTAGCTCCAACTCCAGCGTCTCGGGGGACACGCTAAGTCGGGACAAATTCAGTTCGGCCTCCCCTGCCGTAGTCACCGCCGCCCCGGAATCCTGCATCCCTTCCAGCACCGGACGCGCGGCCCGGGGAGCCCGACAACGCCGCGCGAGCCCCGCGAGAACCACAGGCCCGGAGCTCGGCGGCCCGGAACCTGATCCCCGGGTGGTGTCGGAAGTGGCGAAGGCAGGCGCTAACCCGCTGCGCCTTTGCTGAGTCACGCGACGTAGGGCGGTGACGGCTGGCCGTCCTCTGGGGCGGGGCTCGGTCTCACGTGGCGCGTGGTACGGAATTGCGGCGCTGGGCGGGGCAGACACCTCGTGGCTGCTGAGTAGTTCCCGGGGGTCGTTGTAGTCCGTCAGGTTTGGACAGTTGCGGTTTGTGTAACCTCTGTCTGGTGAAGAGTCCCCGTAGTCTAAGGCCACCTGGGTAAATAGATGGAGGGTTGATTAGTTATTGGGCATTTACGATTCTCTTATGTCATGGTGCACTGACCTATTGGGAGTGCGGCCCCTTAGTGTGCAGGATTCAGTGAGAAAGCAGGAATTCAGCTGGTTAGAGCAAATCCCAGGAATTTATAAAGCTATTGTAATTAAAGCAAGCTGGTAGTGGCTCAAGAATAGGCATATAGATCAGTGGAACACAAGAAACCAGAAATAAACCCACGCCTTTCTGTTCAGTTAATATTTGACAAAGGAGGAGACAATACAATGGAGTAAAAACAGTCTCTTTAATAGTGTTGGGCAGTTGGGCAGGTATATGCAAAAAAAAAAAAAGAAAGAAACGACTTGGGAGGCCTGCTTACTCTTAAGAGGTGAATTCAGGTGAGAGACAACTCTTCATAATGGAAATGAAATAGCAAGTTTATTAAATACACTTGAGCATGAAGCTGCAAGCCGGCACCCAGCTAATCTGAACGTCCCGACTATTGAGATTATAGGGATTTTATGCTCGTAGCCAGCCTCTAGTTTCCACCTCCTCCCATCTCCAGACCTTGGGAGTAATACACAGTTTCAAAGGCTTTCTTTGCCAGATAGTGGAAAGGATACCTAGAGAATTTAAAGGTCTCTCCCTCCTCCTGAGTCATCATGGTTATTTTGTTTTCGTGTGTGTGACTTTCTGGATACCTGGCAATCTTACCTGACCAAGCTCAGAACTGCTAAATTAATGAGTGAGAGGTCTCCCTCCTCTTCTCTCCCTTGGTTTACTATCTATCCTCCCTAACATAGAGCACCAATTTCCACCATACACAAGAATAAACTCAAAATAGGTAAAAGATTTTAAGTCATGAAACCACAAAAATCCTAGAAGAAAACATAGGCAGTAAAATCTCACATGTCTCAGGTACCAGTACTTTTGCAGATATATCTCCCACGGCAAGGAAAACAAAGGGAAAAAATAAGCAGATGGGACTACTTCAAACTGAAAAGCTTCTGCACAGCAAAAGAAAACATCAACAAAATGGAAAAGGAATTTACTGTATTGGAGAACATTTGCCAGTGATACATCTGATAAAGGGTTAATTTCCAAAATATATAGAGTGCTTCTATAACTTAACACCAGGAAGACAGTCCAATTAAAGATGGGCAAAAGACCTGAATGTACATCTCCAAAGAGCACATACAGATGGCTGAGAGACATGAAACAATGCTCAACATGACTAATAAAGAGAAATGTAAATTAAAACTGCAATGAAGTATCACCTCACACATGCCAGAATGGCTGCCATCAATAAACAGCAAGTGCCAGCGAAGATGTGGAGAAAAGGGGACCCTAGTGCACCACTTATGGAAATGCAGATTGGTGCAGCCACTGTGTGAAACAGTATGGAGTTTCCTAAAATTTAAAGTGGAACTGTCTTTTGATCCAGGGATCCCACTTCTGGAAATATACCCTAAGAATCCTGAAACACCAATCGGAAAGAATATATGCACCCCTATGTTGATAGCAGTGTTGTTTACAATAGCCAACATCTGCAAACAGCCCATTTGCCCATCAGTAGATGAGTGGATAAAAAAGCTGTGGTACGTGGAGTACTACATGGCTATTAAAAAGAAGGAATTCTTACTTTTTGTGACAGCATGGATGGACCTGGAGATTATTATGCTAAGTGAAATAATCCAGTCAGAGAAAGACAAATACTATATAACCTCACATATATATGGAATCTAGTAAGAAAAACTGATGAACAAAATAGAATCAAAGACATGGATACATGGAACAGACTGACAGATCTCAGAGGTGAGGGGGATGGGGGGAACTGGATAAAAGAGGGTGAAAAGATTAGCCAAACATATATGCCTGGCCCAGGGACACAGACAATACTGTGTTGAGGGCTGGGGATAGGGGGCAGAGGCTGGATGGAGGAGGGCAAAGGCAGGGGTTGAAATGAGGGACATCTATAATAGTGTCAACAATAAGAAAAGCCACAGAAATTTAAAGTCTGGGGATTAACCAAGCTGACTTTAAAGTACAAAGACTGGACTAGAAATCAGATCCCCTGGCTTCTTCCTGTGTTCTGCAGTTAAATTGCTTGGTGTCCTTGGATGTGGGATTTTATTTCAGTTTCTCCCTCCATAAAATATGGATGGTACTTGCCCTACTGGATTTGTTTAAAGCCTGACATAAGTAATGTATATCAAGTAAGGGTGTTTTACTATTTCAGCTATAGAAGCACGTCTGTGGTTTTTGGTTTAAGTGATAGTAGCTAGAAATGAGTTTTGAAACCATGAAGTAGGTTAGTTAATTTGAGATAGCTCAAACTAACTGATGAGGTTAAGAACTCACTAAGTATTGAGATTTTATTGCAGGTTAAAGCTACAATTTAACGGGGAAAAACCTGATTCTGGCTTTAATTTAGCACTTTTAAGTAACATATTTTCCCTTGCCATAAATTCATCTCTTCTGAGATGAATTAATATTTATAATTTTAATATTTATGAAATTATTTATGATTTTGAAGACATGAATAGAAATAAGAAAAATGTTTGGCATTCTTTTACAGACCTATGCAGAAAAATGTTAAGAGCTTGTTTATAATCAATGGCATTATAGCTTTCCTTCTAAGAAGAAGAGTAAAGATTTTCTTGCTACTCTTTTATGTAAGAAGCTTTATGCCTTTTAACTTTAATTTACGTACCAAAACTTTAATTTCTGGTTGAATTATAGTTGTGGGAGAATGTATTTTGTCAGTTTGAACCAGGGATAGAATGTTTTTAAAACCAATAGTGTCCTGATTTTGAAACATGTTTTGAAAGGGTCCTTTAAAAAATTAGCCCTTGTTTTGGATCAAGATTACATTCAGGCAGAAACCCTAATATGTGAAAATCACAAATATTTACTTATTTATTTTAAAATTTCATCTTTATTGTATTTTTTTCATGACCATTTAGTCCCATTATACTCCCCTCCCGCCAGCAATCACTACACTGTTGTCTGTGTCCAGGAGTCCTTTTTCCTTTTTGCTCAATCCCTCCAACCCCTAAACTCCCCACCCCTACTGGCTGTCATCTGCTTTCCATCCGAGTCTGTCTCTGTTTTGCTTGTTAGTTCAGTTTGTTCATTAGATTCCACCTATGGCTAATATCATATGGTATTTGTCTTTCTCTGACTGGCTTATTTCACTTAGCATAATGTTCTTCAGGTCCATCTATACTGTTGCAAATGGTAAAATTTTCTTAATTTTCTTCTTTATTACAGCAGAGTAGAATTCCATTGTGTAAATGTCCCATAATTGTTTTGTGCACTCATCTACTGATGGACACTTGGGCTGCTTCCATATCTTGGTGAGAAAATTGCAAATATTTAAAATAACACATTTTATGCTTTAGAAATATATATATATATATATATATATATCTGTGGTAAAAATAAAGTGACAGGAGTACAATGTAAAATGAGAAAAAGAAATAATTCAAATGTGATTCAGAAATAGAGTTAACATTACAAATCAGTAAACGTAAAGGGGAAAGATAGAAATAGCAACAATAATAGAAAATGAAGCTATGTGATAAAAAGTTTTGGAGAAATATTTACATAAATGTGAGAATCCTCTTAATGCTAATTCTAATAAAACCTTCTCTATGTTAGCTACCACAGGTGCATCTCTCTTCCTTGTGGCCGATGGGTCAAAATTAAGCAGCATCCCCAATCCTGTAGTTGGCCTTCAAACTATCCAGTCAGGCTGGAGAGTTCTGAAAACCCTATGGGAGATGAAGGAGCTTTGGTGGCTTGTGGCGCTTCACAGTCATGGGATTTGTCTGTGGCTAGCAGAAGGAGATGCAGTGGGGCCACGGGAGAGTGTGACGAGAAATGGAGACAACATAATGCATTATCTAGGAAAAGGGTTAAATTTCAGGGGACCGGGAAAGTACATGGCATATTTGTCCACTTATTGAAACTATACCATTAAACTATTCTTGGGTCAAACTGACTAGAATGTTACTGAAAAGAGAAGGGAGATCAACTGAAGGGCATTTTTCCCTTCAGCCACCCTGTCTAGATTTCCTTGCAAATACTTGTTTTCTGCCAAAAATACAGCCATTAGAATATTAAGTCTCATGGAGCATTGTGGTGAGCTTTTGCTGCAACAATTTGGTAATAATATCACTGAGAAGTCCCTGTGGGCTGCCACACAACAGTTCCTTTGAAGACATGATGACTTCACCTCACTTGCTTCTCACCTGGCTGGTCAAAGGTACCAGCTGTGATACAGGTAAGCTCTTTCAATAAAGAATTTATTTATTTAGGAGAAATTGTTCGCCATGATTGTGAACTAGAGAGCCAAATGACTTATACTGTGACTGAATTGTTCAGATGCCTACTCCAACTGTATCTGGTCCATTTACACATACGTACATGTCTACACAGAGCCAGTTCATAGATTTCTCCATTTTTCAGGCTGGAGTTTTCTGTTTTGGCATAGTTGATACCCATCTCCAGTGGTTTATGAACTTCTTTTTTTTTTTAAAGAATTTTATTTATTTACCTTTAGAGAGGACGGGAAGGAGAGAGGGAGAGAAATATCAATGTATGGTTGCTTCTGGTGCACCCCTTGCTGGGAACTGGCCTGCAACCCACGAATGTGCCCTGACTGGGAATCGAACCGCGATTGTCTGGTTCGTGGGCCACACTGAACTTCTTTTTTCTGTTTTTTTTCTTTTCCTACTAATATTGAAACTTTGTAAGACTGTTGTCCCATATTCTATTTAATTTAGTTA